TTTTTTTTTTTTTTTTTTTTTTTTTTTCCGTTTTTGATTCCAAGTTTTGGGCGGTACTGGTCGTTGCAAGGTGGGTGCCCCTCCCGACGCGGCGCGTATACGGGAAGCGCCGCGTCCGATAGCTGGGCGAGGTACTGGTGGTTTAAGATTAAAAAAAACAACAACCAAATCACAATAAGGCACCCCCCTTCAAACCCCTTTAGCCCCTTTAAAATTCATTTATACTCCTCTTCCCCCCTGTTGATAACCAATTCTCAAAAATAGAAAAGAGCCTGGATTTGGGCTCCTCTCGGAGAGCGCGGAAAAAACACACCGCCAATTGTTTGTTTGTTTTTTAATTTCCCCCCCATGCCCGGGTATCCCGGGCGCCAGACCCCCCCGGGCGTCACGGCCGGGTGACCGGCCGGTCATGAAAATCTTCCTAGACCGCCTATACTATTTATCAATGGTGAACCCTACATTTCAGCCTTGTTTTCTTGTGGCGACAAGTTTCGAACTGCAAGGCTGGAACCGTGTGCTTGCAGTTTTAGGCACCCCATATCCTCTCGTTCATTTCCTCCGCAAATCATAACAAACCACCCATAACAGAAAAAATATAGATAAGACAATATAATAGAAATTGCAAGGTTGGCCATGTTTGTGTTGTTCAGTATACATACATTTATTTGATCCATAGAAGGGTGGAGGGCAAGAAGCAACTTACCTGAGACCAACAACTCCACCATCAAGAAAGCACCGAACCCACCCTCCATAGGTTTGAAAAAACTTGGAGAGCCCTCCAAGTTGGCCCACAAAACCACAAACCAACATAACACAAAAGGCTCCACTGACAAAACAGCACCAAGCCCTCTGCGGTGGCCTACAACGCGACCACAACTCAGAAATACAACACAGGACCTGCATGCAACACCAAGAGTGCCTTGAACCTGCCCCTGTCGCGCAACCTGCAGAATCGGATGATGTCCTAGCGCTACAGCAAGGCCACTGCCGAGTACTATGCCAAATTCCACAAGAGCTCCACGCGGTACCAGGAGCACCCTAGAGGCTACCCCAATCTTCCATGTGCTCCGAAAGAGCATCCCCCCGGAACGACACCCACAGCAAACACTCTCTGAGCCTCCTCGCAGAGATATTGTGGCCAAAACTCCAAACTCCCACCCCAGAAAAAACTTGTGGCCACCCACAGACATTACTCCATCGACAAGACAGCCCATACTGCAAAGCAAAGCAGGGCAACGAATTAGGCCATGTCAAAAAAAAAAACCAACAAAACACATGCATCCAGAGAGAAAAGAGTAGCTCGCTAGTATGTGCGTGTGTGTGTGTGTGTGGTTGGGGTGGGGGGGTGACACTCCCCCCATCAATCAATTGATCAATCAATCAATCAGTCAATCAATCAATCAATTAATCAATCAATCAGTCAATCTATCAATCAATCTATCAATCTATCAATCAATCCATCAGTCAACCTATCAATCAATCTATCAATCAATGAATCAATCTTCAATCAATCAATCAATACGATCAATACGATCAATCAATCAATCAATTTTGTTTTTGGGGAAACTACACATCGTACACGAGAGTCACAGAAATGAGATATAGTTGCAGATACAGTTTCAAACTGCAGTTCGGGCAGTGTATACAACCCAGCTTTCTGGCCAGGTAGGGTGCCCCAAGTGCAATAATTGCAAACTGCATCTTGCCCCATAGTGCAATTATAACTCGTTTTTGTGACTCTACCGAAGTTACCCCCTTTTTTTTTTTTTTTAATACCGACCCCACCCCAAAAATAAAATAATAATAATAATTATTATTTCCGTCTGGGGGTTGGGCCCAGACATGCGTCCCCCTTCCCCCCCCCCCCTCCTCAAAACGCTTTCCCCCCCTTGGAAGGCCTCCATTTGGGCTCGAACGGCCGTTCGTACGGGCCGTATGACCGCCAAGGGGGGCCGTTCAAACATATGAGCGGCCCGTATTTGTACAAGGGTGGGGAAGGGGCAGGAGGTGTGTGCGTGTTTTAAATTCTCACCACAGCAGCCCGTATTCCACCCAGATGAGAAGATCCAAAGTCAAAGCATAGTATTCAATCCTATTACAGACAACTAAAGCCCTTGAGTTGAGGTAAGCCCTTGAGTTGAGGTCATCCAACAACGAACCAGTTTCACCTCTATAGCAAGCAACATGAAGTACAATAGAGGTATGTAAAACCCTTTCTTAGTTGTATTCACATTTGTTTTCTTTGGGGTACCCCTTTCATTTGTTCTTGCAGCTCCCCTTCACCGTGCCTCTTATGCACAAGGCTCGCCATGTTTATTGTGGCTGTGTGCGAGCTGCCCACATCCCCGTGCACCATAACGGCCCACTTGTCACACTATGAAAGGAGGCAGAGCAAATGCGAAGGTATATTCCTGTTCATTTCTTCTCAGATCCTCTGTTCTCTTAACGATGCTCATTCGTATGTATTACCAGTAATACAGAAGTAGAGGGAGGGAGGAAATGGGAGGTCGAGTTCTAACAGGGTTTTAAACAGTGACCGCTGGGGCAGACCACTCTAGAATGGCACATGAGGCCAGTCCGTGTGTGGGTCGCATAAGATTTGAGGAGCAATTGTTGCCTATGGTAAGTGCCTATCGTAAGTGGCCACTTCTACACACTCTGTGCGTGCGTGTGTGTGTGTGTGTGTGTGTGTGTGTGTGTGTGTGTGTGTGTGTGTGTGTGTGTGTGTGTGTGTGTGTGNTGTGTGTGTGTGTGTGTGTGTGTGTGTGTGTGTGTGTGTGTGTGTGTGTGTGTTGTTAAACAACCAGTACCCTTCCATGCTTGGGATCTAAGCGGCGGTTAACACGGAGGCCCTATTCGGCCTCCTGCACCGACCGATCCATCGGGCGCAAAGGTACTGGTGGTTTAAAGCACCAGCACACGGATACCTGGGCCGTGGACCTGACATCTTGAATCTCGGAAGAGTGAAATGAAAAAGGGACCACCGATACTATTTATCAACGGTGGGCCCCACGTTTGACGTTTCGGCCTTGTTTTCTTGTGGTGACAAGTTTCGGACTGCAAGGCTGGGACGGTGTACTAGGGGGGTTTAAAGCACCACATATTCTCTCTCTCACTTCGTCCACAAACCATGACAACCATCCATAAGAAAAAAGGTATTGAAAATGCAAGGTTGGCCACGATTGTGTGGTTCAGCACCAAGGTCCCACACACCCGTCTGCTACCGAAGCGCCACACTTGCACATATACCTATATACATACATTTATTTGATCCATGAAAGGGTGGAGGGCAAGAAGCAACTTACCTGAGGCAGAGGACTCCCCCAGCAAGAAAGCACCGACCCCATCCTCCCTACGTCTGGAAAAACTTGGAGAGAGCCTACCACGTCAGCCCACAAACCCACAAACCCACAAACCAACAAAAGACAGAAGGCTTCACGAACAGAAAAAAGCAGGGACCACACAATGTCATGCCAATGGTCTGAAAACGCCACGGCCTACAACGGCACCACATATCAGAAATACACCGCAGCACCTGCACAGAACACCAAGAGTGCCTTGAACCTGCCCCTGCCGCGCAACCTGCAGAATCGACTGATGTTCTAGCGCTACAGCGAGGCCACTGCCGAGTACTATGCCAGCGCTACAGCGAGGCCACTGGCACACTGCCGAGTACTTAGCCAAATTCCACAAGATCTCCACCGGACACCAGGAGCGCTACTGCACCCTAGAAGCTACTCCATTGCGCTACAGCGAGCCCACTGGCACACTGCCGAGTAATTAGCCAAATTCCATAAGATCTCCACTGGGGCAAGGTCCCGCTTGCAAGGCCTAGCCCCTGGACAGCAGGAGCGCTACTGCACCCTACCCCATTCTTCCATGTGCTCCGAAAGAGCAGCCGGCGGGAATGACACGCACAGCAAACACTCTCTGAGCCTTCTCGCAGAGATATTGTGCCCAAAACCCCACACTCCCACCCCGAAAAAACTCGTGGCCACCCACCGACATTACTTCATCCACAAGACACAGCCCATGCTGCATAGCAGGGCAAAGAATTAGGCCATGGATAAATAAATAACAAAAACCAACAAAACGCATCCATCCACAGAGAAAAGAGTAACTCGCTAGTATGTGTGTGTGTGTGTGTGTGTGTGTGTGTGTGTGTGTGTTGTGTGTTGTGATCTTAAGTGTCATGCTTGTTGAGTGAAATGCACGCACGGTGGGAACTCTTCATCCGAGGCGGTTTAGTTGCCCGAGAATTCGTCATCGCCCTGCCTGAATGGAGCTTTTTGTCCCAAAAAAAAAAAAAAAAAAGAGGCAGTGACACAAACCCGATTAATTAATAAGCAATATATATATCGTCACAAAYAGAACTGCCCGGTAAACCGTAGGCAGAGAGAGAGAAGAGGACAACAAACGAGGGGCTGTGACAAACTGTTTCGTCGGAGTTTCACCGACTCATCAGTAGGCTGAACCCTCAACAGTCTGCAGAATCCCCTCACTGATTACACTGTAAATGATAATCTACCTTAACCAAAATCAAAGTAGACTATCACTCATATATATATTCTCATCAGATTAGCCCCACTGCTCCAGCTATATTGTTGAATGACAGTTCGTGATCTCCGAAGCCTTGTTCCCTCCCTACTCGGTGGTTTTGCCCAACAACGACCTCACTGGTATTCCTTGGGCTGCCATTATATATATGATAGCCAAAACTTAACACCACCCCTTCTGTTCGAGGTATTGCGGGAACATCATTGTCTGCAACTGAGTGACAAAGGTTTCACTAACGTGCATTGTATAAAAGAGGCGTTGGAACGAAAGCGAGTGCACCTGCGTTCGTCCATCAGGATTCCAAACTATGGTAAAACGTACTTGCGGAACAAAATTCGACCTACTGTACGACACCTTTTCAATACGGAAAGCATAAGCAGGGGTGACAACGCAATAGTCATTAAGAATAAGGAGGACACAAGGAGAACAGAAGGAGAAACAGGAGGAAGCAGAATTATCTCTGCCTGCCCTGGCCTGCCCTGCACTTTTACAGAGACAGAAGAAGGAGAAGCAGAAGGGGGTGGGGGGAAGAAGAAGAAGAAGAAGAAGAAGAAGAAGAAGAAGAAGAAGAAGGAGGAGGAGGAGGAGGAGGAGGAGGAGGAAGAAGAAGAAGAAGCAGAAGAAGAAGTGGAGGAGGAGGAGGAGGAGGAGGAGGAGATTCGGGGGTGGAAGGAAGGAGAAGGAGCATATGGGCAAGGTGCACAGGAGAAGGACAGTATAAGATAAGGATCATGAATAAGGACATGGAGAGCAGAGGAAGGAGAACAAGAAGAGGAGGAAGCACGGCTTTTTCAGTTATGCACCCCCCCCTCCTCCCCCTGCCCCCCTTGTTCTGCCCTGCCCTTACTTAGTAGGTTCCGCCCCGCTAATACTAGTAGTACTAGTGATACATCGTATATTACATGGACTTCAACAAGAAGGATGTCGACTAGCCGAAACTCCGAGACTTCGAAATGTGTCGACGTTTCTCCGCCGCACCCCCCCTAGCCTATCTATTCTCTACTCGTTCAACGTCAATTCTCCCCCCTCCTCCCCCCTCCTCCCCCCCCTCTTGCTCAACACCCCTTCTTGCTTTCCCTCATCTTCTTTCCCCCTCCTGTACGATTGCTTTGATCCTCTCCACAACAACACCCATCCTGGGCCTCTTACTTGCATCTGCGTCAGTGCAGACCTGCCCCAGCTTGGCAACTGCACACAGCGTCTCCCTCTCCCAATTGCTCCCTCCAGGGGTTTCAAAAGACTGAACAAGCTGTGGGTCCACCATCTTGCTAAGCACCCGATAGTCCCAGTTTCCAACTCTGTCGAACCTCTTCCGGGTCCAATGGACTAGCAGAACGGGTTGGTTACCTCCTCCGCTTTCGCTGTCGCTGTCGCTCAGGGCCTCATCATACATATCTAGATCGTCGTTCTCGAGTTGATCTCTACTGGTGTTCCAGAAAAGAGCACTCTTCCCAGTGACCATCTCCAGGAGAATGACACCGAAGGCATACACGTCATTCTTGGCGGTGAGTTTCAGCCCAATTGCATACTCAGGAGCCATGTATCCGACGGTGCCCGCTCGGAAATCTGTCTGCACAGTTTCTCGACGTCTTTCCAAGCCTGAGCTCGGATTGCCCAGCCGAGCCAGGCCGAAGTCGGTCAGATAAGCCTTCACCTGCTCTCCAGAGCCGGCGACAAGGACGTTGCTGCTTTTGACGTCGCGATGCAAGAGTGGGGGATCCAACTCCTCGTGGAGATACCTCAATGCTGTCCCGATCTGCAGTGCAACCGACAGTCGCGACCTCCAATCCAAGGGAGGAGGAGGAGGAGGAGGAGGAGGAGGTGGTGGTCCTGGGGTAGTGGGAGAGGGCAGGGCCTGGGCAGAGGGCTGAGGACGGGGGTGCAGACGATCATGTAAGCTGCCACCAGAGATGAAGGGATAGACAAGGACAACCACATTTCCCTCCACGCAGTAGCCCAGAAGCTTGCACAGATGGACGTGGCGAGCTCGGCTGAGCGTGGTCACTTCGGAGATGAACTGTTTGCTCTTCACCTCGTTCAGCATACCCCTCATCACCTTGAGTGCGACGTCAACCACCTCCCCCCCCCCCCCATCACCTCCTCCCCCTCCTCCTCCTACCCTCAAGGCTGCCCGGAAAAGGTCACCGAACCCGCCCCTTGCTCCCACCACCTTGTGCGTATCGCTAAAGCCATCTGTTGCTGCCCGCAGTTCCGCGAAGGGAATCCGCCGAGGCGCATCCAGCTGGTCAAGCTCCCTCGAGATGGACGTCAACACTAATGGATCGCCAAAGAAGAAGGAGGAAGACGTCGTCCCTGTCGAGGAGGAGGTTTTGGAATCAACACAGGTGGAAGTTGTGTCGCCTTTGCCTCCAGCACAGACGGTATTCCGCTGCCCGAGGAATCCGCTCGACCGCCCTCGCAGCCACCCCCCCCGCTGCGTCTTCAGCAGGTGATCTGCAGAGGCACCATTTTCACCCCCCCTTGCCAACGACGAGCCCCTCTTCGACCTGAAGCACAGTCTTCCACTCCACCACAGGAGGAGCGTTGCGGCAGCCCCTAGGAGAGCGACAGTTGTTGCGCTCAAACCGACGGCCAACCTCAGCTTGGAATCTCCATGTGATTGGGAGGAGGAGGAGGGATTCAGCACCGGGGGAGGCCGAACGTACGGTGGAAGGGGAGGGAAGCCGGGAGGATCGGCAGGATCATAGGGGCCGCATTTGTGCAGAGCGTTGCGATTAATCGCGAAGTGAAATATCTCCCCATTGCCCGTGCCGACGTACAACTCCGTGTCATTGTGACTAAGCAGCAGACGGGATGGCTCGTTAACACCGGTCCATTCTGTGAAACTGGGTGGAGGTGGAGATGGGACGGCGTGGTCAAAGACAACGACGTCTGCCGTCCAGGCGACATTGCCATGTGGCGAGTCGAGGGCCAGCCATCTTACCATGGAGGGATGGCCCCTCGGGGCGCTGTAGTTTGTCCAGCCCGTCGCGAAAAGGTTGCAGTCATCCGACGTTATAACGGTCGATAACGGGCCGAAGGACATTTCCACCGGCGTTCCGTTAGCAAAACGGAGAGTTTGAACCTCATTGGTGGTGGTGTTCAGCCGCCTGACGAGGAAATTACTCCGGTCGGCAACGTACAAGACGGAGCCGTCCCTGGATATCGATCTAGGGTTCATTCTCGGGCCCTCGGGTCCAAATTGCGCATTGGTACCGATGCCATCAAGCGGCCCGGGGACAGCACTGCCGGCCACAGTGGAAATCTCGTCCTCGGAAGCCCCTTGAGACAGCGGCATCGACAGAACATTCGAAACAGGTGTACCTATAAATAGCGTCGTCTCCTTCGGATGCCTGACCATGCCGAACCGAGCCGCTCGACTGGTATCGATGAACTCCTCCCCGCTCCCATCCTCCACCCCCACTTGGAAGATACCGGGGTAGTCAAAATGTCCGTACAGAAGCGTAAGATTCCCTTCCAGAATCTCCAGGGATGTAACGCGGCGATTGTTGTTCGTGGTCAGGTTGAAAGGCTGCTCCAATATATTATCTGCTGACACGTGGTACGACAGAGTCTCAGGCAGTCTGAGCGGTGATGATTCAGATGAGGGTGAAGAAGGTCGTGATGGCGGGAAAGCCGACGGATTACTACCGGTAGGAGGCAGTCGGATGGCTTTACCGATCCGGCTGTCGGTCTGATACTTGTCATGAGCGAAGAAGATGGTGTTTCCATCGGGCGAGAGGAGGAGAGACCGGATATAACGCTTTTCATAATATGAGGAATAGGGCAATATATTGCCGTGTAGAGTGAGCAGCGATTCGTTAAACAGAAGCCAAGGGAACCGACTGACCGGTCCTTCCTCCTCTAGTATCCTCCTCCTGCCCTCGTCAGAGTGGTGGTTGTCATGGGCCGTCGAAGGAATGCCGAGACCGGACTCGAACACCGACCTCTGCTCCTCCTCCGCCTCCTCCTTCTCCTCCTCCTCCCCGCGCTTGTCAAATGATCTGGTAAATGCCTTTCGTGCTGCGAGACCTGCAGATGGGACACGTGAGCAATGGGACTGGGAGGACTCCCCTGACTGGTACTCCTTTGGGCCCAAACCCGCGAAGGTTCCAGCAACGGCCGCGCATGGAATCAGAGCAGCCAGAATGGCTAGTAGGAGGATGACCGCAGCAGCTATGGAGAAAGAGGAGGAGGAGGAGGAGGAGGAGGAGGAGGAGGAGGAGGAGGGGGTGCAGGTGGAGGAAGAGGGGAAGGAGGACAAGGAGGGGCACGCCATCTATCTAAATACGCCGGTGTGTGAGCGTTTGACTCGTCGTCGTCACTGACGGCGGCAGATCCGATTTCCGACCCCTGTGTTGAGATACCGCTTCTTCGTGGCCGCCGATCCCGACGGGTCGGAGCGATGATTACCGATTCTCCATTACGATTTAATCCCCTGCATGGCTTCTGGATGGATGAGGCTGCGTAGCCTTCTCGATGACGACCGCCGCTACGCTACCTGCCACCGTTCGTCTGTAACCCTCTGCGTGATTCGAAGCCATCCATCAGATGAATCAAGGTTGTCATAACGATTGGGGGGGTAATTGCAGATACAGCGGGGTCTTTTTGTTGCGACGTTTCGCAGCAGAAGTGTTGTGCGGGTCCGAAAGATTTTCAAAGATGTATTTTTGTTTCGCGAGGAAAGTCGGACCCCGCCTGCAAATACTTTCTTTTGCTGTGAATTGCGAAACTAACGGGGGCCAAGTCCCATTACCTTGGATTCTTCATTTCTGGCCTTCGATCTTCAAAATCTAGGGTCACAAAAAAAAAAAAAAAAGGAATTAGGGTCACTGGGACTTGGCCCCGGGACCTCTAAAGTTGGTTAAAAAAAAAAAAAACATATATAATATAATACATATCTATCGTCACAAATATATATATATATATTTGGCAACGAAACTTGGGCCCCGACAATAGAGGTAGAAACTCGCTTCATCGAAGAGAGGTAGATAGAAAGCTATGCTTGCAGGGGGGTCCCCTGTATATAGCCTGACTTAAGAGTAGGAGTAGGAGTAGGAGTAGAGGTAGGTAGGGAAGTGAAAGAAAGACATGTTCCATGATGACATGATCATGGCAGAAGGGCAGTTAAAAAAAATAAGGGATGTGAGGTGAGAGAGAAATATGTATGGCTGTCCCCCGCGATGAGGAGAAGGCAGCTTTTTCAAAAAAATAAAGAAATTATTTTTGCTGTGAAACTACCGCGACGCGCTATTTTTGAAACTTACCCTGACTATTGCCACGTTCGGGGATCGCTATCCGTTTGCCACGTGGATAATCTCGTCACGTGCATGGCCTGTCTCTTATACACATCTAGATGTGTATAAGAGACAGCTGCATCACAGTGCGGCATCATACAGTTCTGATAGCGTCCTTGGGCACAATAGGGACAACGTATATCTGGGTGATAGGGATGTGTACAATGAGGAAATGTTGGACACCCTACAGGACAGCCGGCGGCAGTCGCAATGCATGGATAAGCACGTGGATAATCTCGTCGCGTGTATGGCTTCTGCATGGATAAGCTCGTGTATAATCTCGTCACGTGCATGGCTTCTGCATGGATAACCACGTGGATAATCTCGTCACGTGCATGGCTTCTGCATGGACAAGCACGTGGATAATCTCGTCACGTGCATGGCTTCTGCATGGACAAGGATAAGTAGCCTTCTCGATGATGACGCTACCAGGAACAGTTGCTGCCGGAGTGCGCTTGTGACTCGACATCTCCGAAAATTGCAGCCGTCAGTGATGAACGTCGAAATGATTATTGCCACGCTGGAAGGACGCTATCGCGAGGTGCTGACGTGGAAATGAAATCTCACTCGTCGACGCGCCACCATCCGAACCTGTTACCTAAAAGGTAAAACGGACAACACCAGGATGCACATGATTGGGACGCGCGAGTCAGATTTTCCGCGAGTAAATGGTGGATAATAATACATATTACTCGTGATACAAAGAAATGTAATAAAAAATATAAGACAATATACAGAGGTATTATGAATAAATTATTACTGTATTACACATATATACATCGTCAAACAGAATGTCCGGTAGACTGTAGGGAGAGAGGGAGAGAAGACAAACTGTTTCGTCGGAGTTTCACGGACTCACCAGGAGGCTATACCTATCCATAAATATATAAATAAATAAATAAATAAATAAATAAATAAATAAATAAATATATATATATATCGTCACAAACAGAACTGCCCGGTGAACCGTAGGCAGAGAGAGAGAAGAGGACAACAAACGAGGGGCTGTGACAAACTGTTTCGTTGGGGTTTCACTGACTCATCGGGAGGCTGAATATATATATATATATCGTCAAATAGAACTGCCCGGTAAACCGTATATATATTGTCACATTGTGAATCAGAGCGCAAAAAAGGGAAAAGAAAAAAGGAAAAGGAAAAAAGGGAAAGGGAAGGAGGTAAGGAAAGCTCCACCTGTTCATAACCTCTTTTGTCACATTGTGAATCAGAGCGCACAAGAGGGGAAAGAAAAAAGGAAAAGGAAAAAAGGGGAAGGGGAAGAGGTAAGGAAAGCTCCACCTGTTCATAACCTCTTACG